CTGCATGTTAGGTGACGAAAACATTTGTACCTGTTGAGGAGGGGCATATTGACCAACAGCATTAGCCATTGTTCTCTTCAGTCCCAAAGTTAGATGGATGTCACCTGAACAAGTGCTGGTATCTGCCACGTTGGGACTCTAAGGGAGAGAGAATGGACCAGAGAAAATTGTACAACATGAAAAAAACAACATATAAGCATTAAAGCAAACAGTACACAACAATGACTTCAGTCTGCACTCAGGCACATCTCAATGGAGACCTGTTAAATTCTATAAACACACATGATTGAATTCAAGGCAAAGTCAGTCATGTGGACACCAAGAGCATGTATTAACACACATGAACTCAACTGCAAAGTGAGTCATGGGGACATCAAGAGACTGCAGTCGAGTTCAGTCATTCGTGTTAAAGCAAAGTACGTTATGTGGACAATGAGAACAAGTATTTACACACATGAACTCAAAAGCAAAGTCAGTCATGGGGACATTGAGAGGACACTAGGGTTGTCCCGATCCAATCACACGACTGCAGACTCGATCCAGTATGAGGTATAACACACAGCGCACACAGGACACACAGCACACAACAGTTTTGTTCCGTTTTTAACTAAGGCTCAGGGACGTCTGTGCCACTGTCTGTCCCAGTGCCTGCTGTACTAGGCGGCACACTTATGTTGGGTCTTCTGCCGTGCGTGTTCCGCAGTGGGTTTGTGGATGTGGTGGCGGTGCGGGGGAGTGGGGGCGGAGTGGGGGCGGTAGGCTGTGGGGCTTGTTTTGTATTTGGATTTCATAGATGAGCGTAAACGTTAAAATGCACATGCTTCCATATAATATCAAATGTACAAACTGTAGATTGTGCAGAGTCTAGTCTCAGGTCTGATCTTATTCTGGTCTGGTTCCCGTTTGTTCAGTTCATTAAATACACTAAGTTACACATTCCAAGACCAGACCGTGGTAAAAGTAAAGATTTTCAACAATGATGGTGCATAGTTAGAAAAGTTAATAAAAAAATTCAAGTTTTGGACATTTGATTTTTCACACTAAGTTCAGCCCAAATACTACACACTGAAATCAACACAATCTGATCCTGCACACATCCTGGATCTTATTCTTTGCTCTTAGTTCATTTCATAAATTTTATAGAAGTGTCAGATTGAGACTTGATGTCAGCAGATACTCAAAATCAAATGACTCTGAGGCAAAAAAAAACAACAACAAAAACAGGACATCCCTAGAGCACACATAAAAATAAAAGAAAAAAAATTACATGTTGGGTGATAAAAACATTTGTACCTGTTGAGGAGACTCATATTCAACAGGACTATCCATCTGAGTTTGATCAGCTTTCATCTAAAAAAGTAAAATAGAGAAAATATATTTTAAAAAAGGTAGAAAAGTAAAAAGCACATACATAACTAAATGTGATGATCATTGGTAAAAAAAAATAAATACACTGCACTGAAAATGCAATATTGACAGTTGCATGTAGTAACATTGTATGACTTACAATACGTTTTCTCCGTCTTTGCTTTGATACAAAAAGAGCTTTTTTATTCTTCTGTGAAAAAGTCTAAATGAAAAAAAAAAAATAATTATTAATATAGGGGAACAAAAACCAAACACTAGACCGGAAATACACTTATAAAACTCATTAGGACCTATCCATGAATTTCAGATACTAAAAGTATCGTAAAGTACGTCATGTGGACAATGAGAGCAAGTATTAACACATGAACTCAACTGCAAAGTCACTTGTGGGGATATTGAGAGTACATGTTTAAAAACAAGAAAGCTTACATATGCACAAGGCTCTAAAGAGGACTTAAATATTCTTTTTGTACAATCCTATTTGGCACATATAATTTAGCCACATCATGTAGAATAACAACGAAGCAAACAGTAATGGAAGTGCTTAAAACAACAAAAATACACATAAAAAAGTGAATATTACAGGTTAGGTGATGAAAACATTTGTACCTGTTGAGGAGGAGCATATTGACCAACAGAATTAGCCATCCTTCTCTTCAGTCCCAAAGCTAGACGGATGTCACCTGAACAACCGCTGACATCTGCCATACTCTAAGGGACAGAGAATGGACCAGAGAAAATTATACAACATGAAAAAAAACATGGAAACATTACAACCAACATACAAAAATAACTCCTGAGATCTGTTAAATTCACTTAACGAACATTATTGAACTTAACTGCAAAGTGAGTCATGCAGACACAAAGAGCATGTATTAACACATATAAACTAAACTGTAAAGTGAGTCATGGGGACATCAAGAGACTGCATTAACACGAATGATTGAACTCAACTGCAAAGTACATCATGTGGATGTTGAGAGCAAGCATTAACACACATGAACTCAACTGCAATGTCACTCATGGGGACATTGAGAGCACATGTTTTAACAAAACAAGTACACATGCACGTCCACAAGTAAAGGAAATGTTCAATACAACAAAAATACAGAATTACATGTTAAGTGATGAAAGTATTTGTACCTGTTGAAGAGAGCCATTTGCATCTACAGGATTATCCATCTGAGTTTGGGACTGGAGAGTAGGATGACTTTCATCTGGAGAAGTCCTCTTATCTGACACGTTGGGACTCTAAGGAAGAGAGAATGGATGAGAGAAAATAAGTAAAATAAACAGACATTACTCGATATTTTCTTCAAATCGTGCAACCCTAATATACAACAATAATTCCCATCTGCACTTACTCGCATCCTAATGGGAACCTGTTTAGTGAACCTAACACGATTGAACTCAGCTGCAAAGTACATCATGTGGATGTCGAGAGCAAGCATTAACACATACACTCAACTGCAAAGTGAGTCATGGGGACATCAAGAGACTGCATTAACACGAATGATTGAACTCAACTGCAAAGTACATCATGTGGATGTTGAGAGCAAGCATTAACACACATGAACTCAACTGCAAAGTGAGTTATGGGGACAATGAGAGCATGTATTAACACACATGAACTCAACTGTAAAATAAGTCATGGGGATAGAGAGCACACGTTTAAAAACAAGAAAGCTTTCATATGCACAAGGCTCTACAGAGGACTTAAATATTCTTTTTGAACAATCCTATTCGGCAAATATAATTTAGCCACATCATGTAGAATAACAACAAAACAAACTAATGAAAATGCTTAAAACAACAAAAGTACACATACAAAAAGTAAGTATTACATGATAGGTGATAAAAATATTTGTACCTGTTGAGGAGAGTCGTATTGACCAACAGGACTATCCATCTGAGTTTGATCGGCTTTCATCTAAAAAAAGTAAAATAGAGAAAATATATTTTAAAAAAGGTAGAGAAGTAAAAAGCACATACATAACTAAATGTGATGATCATTGGTAAAAAACAATATTATATACACTGCACTGAAAATGCAATATTGACAGTTGCATGTAGTAAAATTGTATGACTTACGATATGTTTTCTCCGTCTTTGCTTTGGTACAAAAAGAGCTTTTTTATTCTTCTGTGAAAAAGTCAAAATAAAAAAATAAATTAAAAAAATTATTAATATAGGGGAACAAAAACCAAACACTAGACCGGAAATACACTTATAAAACTCATTAGGACCGATCCATGAATTTCAAATACTCAGGATACTATTTACACACATGAACTCAACTGCAAAGTCACTCGTGGGGATATTGAGAGTACATGTTTAAAAAACAAGAAAGCTTACATATGCACAAGGCTCTAAAGAGGACTTAAATATTCTTTTTGAACAATCCTATTTGGCACATATAATTTAGCCACATCATGTAGAATAACAACGAAGCAAACAGTAATGGAAGTGCTTAAAACAACAAAAATACACATTAAAAAGTGAATATTACAGGTTAGGTGATGAAAACATTTGTACCTGTTGAGGAGGAGCATATTGACCAACAGAATTAGCCATCCTTCTCTTCAGTCCCAAAGCTAGACGGATGTCACCTGAACAACCGCTGACATCTGCCATACTCTAAGGGACAGAGAATGGACCAGAGAAAATTATACAACATGAAAAAAACATGTAAACATTACAACCAACATACAAAAATAACTCCTGAGATCTGTTAAATTCACTTAACTGCAAAGTGAGTCATGCAGACACTAAGAGCATGTATTAACACACATAAACTAAACTGTAAAAGCCAGTCATGGGACATTCAGAGCACAAGTTTTAACAAAACAAGTAAGTACATATACATATCCACAAGTAAAGGAAATGCTCAAAACAACAAAAATACAGACCAAGAAATACAGAATTACATGTTAGGTGATGAAAATGTACCTGTTGAGAAGAGCCGTTTTGATCGACTGAGTCTGGAACTGGAGAGTAGGATGACTTTCATCTGGAAAAGTGCTCTTATCTGACACGCTGGAACTCTGAGAGAATGGACAAGAGAAAATTATACAACATGAAAAACAGCATAGAAACATTACAACCAACATACAAAAATAACTCCTGAGATCTGTTAAATTCACTTAACGCACATTATTGAACTCAACTGCAAAGTGAGTCATGCAGACACAAAGAGCATGTATTAACACATATAAACTAAACTGTAAAGTCAGTCATGGGGACATCAAGAGACTGCATAAACACGAATGATTGAACTCAACTGCAAAGTACATCATGTGGATGATGAGAGCAAGCATTAACACACACACCCTCAACTGCAAAGTGAGTCATGGGGACATCAAGAGACTGCATTAACAGGAATGATTGAACTCAACTGCAAAGTACATCATGTGGATGTTGAGAGCAAGCATTAACACACATGAATTCAACTGCAATGTCACTCATGGGGACATTGAGAGCACACGTTTTAACAAAACAAGTACACATGCACGTCCACAAGTAAAGGAAATGTTCAATACAACAAAAATACAGAATTACATGTTAGGTGATGAAAGTATTTGTACCTGTTGAAGAGAGCCATTTGAATCTACAGGATTATCCATCTGAGTTTGGGACTGGACAGCAGGATGGCTGTCACCTGGACAAGTGCTCTTATCTGACATGCTGGAACTCTAAGAGAGAATGGATGAGAGAAAATTATACATCATGAAAAAACAAGTAAAAACATACAGTAGAAGATATTACTCGAAATTAAATTAGTAATTTTAATGGTTTCCATTAGCACAATTTTGATGTACCATAAAATCTTCCAAAAACTAAATATTCAGTCATATTTAGAAAAAAAAGCAGCTAACTCAGAAGTTTAAATACGTGCAAAATGTTTTAAAACACATATGATACTATTATTTGTTTGCTGCATTCTGCATAACACATTTAAAATATGAAAATAGAACAGAATCTGGCATTCTTAACAAATCGAATCACAATCACAGTACTTTTCAGAATAATTCCAATTAGATATTATCTTCAAATCGCGCAGCCCTATTATACAACAATAACTCCTGTCTGCACTTACTCACATCCTAATGGGAACCTGTTAAGTGAACCTAACACACATGATTGAACTCAACTGCAAAGTGAGTCATGTGGATGTTGAGAGCAAGTATTAACACACACACCCTCAACTGCAAAGTGAGTCATGGGGACATCAAGAGACTGCATTAACAGGAATGATTGAACTCAACTGTAAAGTACATCATGTGGATGTTGAGAGCAAGCATTAACACACATGAACTCAACTGCAAAGTCACTCATGGGGACATCAAGAGACTGCAGTTGAGTTCAGTCATTCGTGTTAAAGTAAAGTACGTCATGTGGACAATGAGAGCAAGTATTAACACATGAACTCAACTGCAAAGTCACTCATGGGGATATTGAGAACACATGTTTAAAAACAAGAAAGCTTACATATGCACAAGGCTCTAAAGAGGACTTAAATATTCTTTTTGAACAATCCTATTTAGCAAATATAATTTAGCCACATCATGTAGAATACCAAAGAACAGTAATGGAAATGCTCAAAACAACAAAAACACACATCAAACAAAGTGAATATTACATGTTAGGTGATGAAAATGTACCTGTTGAGAAGAGCCGTTTTGATCGACAGGTTTATCTGTCTGAGTCTGGAACTGGAGAGTAGGATGACTTTCATCTGGAAAAGTGCTCTTATCTGACACGCTGGAACTCTGAGAGAATGGACAAGAGAAAATTATACAACATGAAAAACAACATAGAAACATTACAACCAACATACAAAAATAACTCCTGAGATCTGTTAAATTCACTTAACGCACATTATTGAACTCAACTGCAAAGTGAGTCATGCAGACACAAAGAGCATGTATTAACACATATAAACTAAACTGTAAAGTCAGTCATGGGGACATCAAGAGACTGCATAAACACGAATGATTGAACTCAACTGCAAAGTACATCATGTGGATGATGAGAGCAAGCATTAACACACACACCCTCAACTGCAAAGTGAGTCATGGGGACATCAAGAGACTGCATTAACAGGAATGATTGAACTCAACTGCAAAGTACATCATGTGGATGTTGAGAGCACACGTTTTAACAAAACAAGTACACATGCACGTCCACAAGTAAAGGAAATGTTCACTACAACAAAAATACAGAATTACATGTTAGGTGATGAAAGTATTTGTACCTGTTGAAGAGAGCCATTTGAATCTACAGGATTATCCATCTGAGTTTGGGACTGGACAGCAGGATGGCTGTCACCTGGACAAGTGCTCTTATCTGACATGCTGGAACTCTAAGAGAGAATGGATGAGAGAAAATTATACATCATGAAAAAACAAGTAAAAACATACAGTAGAAGATATTACTCGAACTTAAATTAGTAATTTTAATGGTTGCCATTAGCACAATTTTGATGTACCATAAAATCTTCCAAAAACTAAATATTCAGTCATATTTAGAAAAAAAAGCAGCTAACTCAGAAGTTTAAATACGTGTAAAATGTTTTAAAACACATATGATACTATTATTTGTTTGCTGCATTCTGCATAACACATTTAAAATGTGAAAATAGAACAGAATCTGGCATTCTTAACAAATCGAATCACAATCACAGTACTTTTCAGAATAATTCCAATTAGATATTATCTTCAAATCGCGCAACCCTATTATACAACAATAACTCCTGTCTGCACTTACTCACATCCTAATGGGAACCTGTTAAGTGAACCTAACACACATGATTGAACTCAACTGCAAAGTTAGTCATGTGGATGTTGAGAGCAAGTATTAACACACATAAACTCAACTGCAAAGTCACTCAAGGGGACATCAAGGGACTGTATTAACACGAATGATTGAACTCAACTGCAAAGTACATCATGTGGATGTTGAGAGAAAGCATTAACACACACACTCAACTGCAAAGTGAGTCATGGGGACATCAAGAGACTGCAGTTGAGTTCAGTCATTCGTGTTAAAGTAAAGTACGTCATGTGGACAATGAGAGCAAGTATTAACACACACAAACTCAACTGCAAAGTCAGTCATAGGGATATTGAGAGTACATGTTTAAAAACAAGAAAGCTTACATATGCACACGGCGCTAAAGAGGACTTAAATATTCTTTTTGAACAATCCTATTTGGCAAATATAATTTAGCTACAACATGTAGAATAACAACAAAGCAAACAGTAAGGGAAATGCTCAAAACAACAAAAATACACATCAAAAAAAGTGAACATTACATGTTAGGTGATAAAATGTTTGTACCTGTTGAGGAGAGCCGTTTGGATCTACAGGATTATCTGTGTGAGTTTTGGACTGGAGAGTAGGATGACTGTCACCTGGACAAGTGCTCTTATCTGACACGCTGGGACTCTAAGGGAGAGAGAATGGATAAGAGAAAATTATACAACATGAAAACAACAACATGGAAACATTACAACCAACATACAAAAATAAATCCGGAGATCTGTTCAATTCACTTATCACACATTATTAAACTCAACTGCAAAGTGAGTCATGTAGACACTAAGAGAATGTATTAAACACACACAAACTCAACTGCAAAGTCACTCATGGGGACATCAAGGGACTGTATTAACACGAATGATCGAACTCAACTGTAAAGTACATCATGTGGATGTTGAGACAAGCATTAACACACACACACTCAACTGCAAAGTGAATCATGGGGACATCAAGAGACTGCAGTTGAGTTCAGTCATTCGTGTTAAAGTAAAGTACGTCATGTGGACAATGAGAGCAAGTAATAACACACATGAACTCAACTGCAAAGTCAGTCATGGGGATATTGAGAACACATGTTTAAAAACAAGAAAGCTTACATATGCACAAGGCTCTAAAGAGGACTTAAATATTCTTTTTGAACAATCCTATTTAGCAAATATAATTTAGCCACATCATGTAGAATACCAAAGAACAGTAATGGAAATGCTCAAAACAACAAAAACACGCATCAAACAAAGTGAATATTACATGTTAGGTGATGAAAATGTACCTGTTGAGAAGAGCCGTTTTGATCGACAGGTTTGTCTGTCTGAGTCTGGAACTGGAGAGTAGGATGACTTTCATCTGGAAAAGTGCTCTTATCTGACACGCTGGAACTCTGAGAGAATGGACAAGAGAAAATTATACAACATGAAAAACAACATAGAAACATTACAACCAACATACAAAAATAACTCCTGAGATCTGTTAAATTCACTTAACGCACATTATTGAACTCAACTGCAAAGTGAGTCATGCAGACACAAAGAGCATGTATTAACACATATAAACTAAACTGTAAAGTCAGTCATGGGGACATCAAGAGACTGCATAAACACGAATGATTGAACTCAACTGCAAAGTACATCATGTGGATGTCGAGAGCAAGCATTAACACACACACCCTCAACTGCAAAGTGAGTCATGGGGACATCAAGAGACTGCATTAACAGGAATGATTGAACTCAACTGCAAAGTACATCATGTGGATGTTGAGAGCAAGCATTAACACACATGAACTCAACTGCAATGTCACTCATGGGGACATTGAGAGCACACGTTTTAACAAAACAAGTACACATGCACGTCCACAAGTAAAGGAAATGTTCACTACAACAAAAATACAGAATTACATGTTAGGTGATGAAAGTATTTGTACCTGTTGAAGAGAGCCATTTGAATCTACAGGATTATCCATCTGAGTTTGGGACTGGACAGCAGGATGGCTGTCACCTGGACAAGTGCTCTTATCTGACATGCTGGAACTCTAAGAGAGAATGGATGAGAGAAAATTATACATCATGAAAAAACAAGTAAAAACATACAGTAGAAGATATTACTCGAACTTAAATTAGTAATTTTAATGGTTTCCATTAGCACAATTTTGATGTACCATAAAATCTTCCAAAAACTAAATATTCAGTCATATTTAGAAAAAAAAGCAGCTAACTCAGAAGTTTAAATACGTGCAAAATGTTTTAAAACACATATGATACTATTACTTGTTTGCTGCATTCTGCATAACACATTTAAAATGTGAAAATAGAACAGAATCTGGCATTCTTAACAAATCGAATCACAATCACAGTACTTTTCAGAATAATTCCAATTAGATATTATCTTCAAATCGCGCAGCCCTATTATACAACAATAACTCCTGTCTGCACTTACTCACATCCTAATGGGAACCTGTTAAGTGAACCTAACACACATAATTGAACTCAACTGCAAAGTGAGTCATGTGGATGTTGAGAGCAAGTATTAACACACACACCCTCAACTGCAAAGTGAGTCATGGGGACATCAAGAGACTGTATTAACACGAATGATTGAACTCAACTGCAAAGTACATCATGTGGATGTTGAGAGCAAGCATTAACACACACACACTCAACTGCAAAGTGAGTCATGGGGACACGCAGACTGCAGTTGAGTTCAGTCATTCGTGTTAAAGTAAAGTACGTCATGTGGACAATGAGAGCAAGTAATAACACACATGAACTCAACTGTAAAGTCAGTCATGGGGACATTGAGAGCACAAGTTTTAACAAAACAAGTAAGTACACATATATATCAACAAGTAAAGGAAATGCTCAAAACAACAAAAATACAGAATTCCAATTTAGGTGATCGAAACATTTGTACCTGTTGAGGAGAGCCGTTTGGATCTACAGGATTATCCGTCTGAGTTTGGGACTGGAGAGTAGGATGACTGTCACCTGGACAAGTGCTCTTATCTGACACGCTGGAACGCTAAGGAGAGAGAATGGATACGAGAAAATTATACAACATGAAAAAACAAGTAAAACAAACATACAGTAGAAGACATTACTCGATATTTTCTTCAAATCGTGCAACCCTATTATACAACAAAAACTCCCGTCTGCACTTACTCACATTCTAATGGAAACCTGTTAAGTGAACCTAACACACATGATTGAACTCAACTGCAAAGTACATCATGTTGATGTCGAGAGCAAGCATTAACACACATGAACTCAACTGCAAAGTACATCATGTTGATGTCGAGAGCAAGCATTAACACACATGAACTCAACTGTAAAGTCACTCATGGGGACATCAAGGGACTGTATTAACACGAATGATTGAACTCAACTGCAAAGTACATCATGTGGATGTTGAGAGAAAGCATTAACACACACACTCAACTGCAAAGTGAGTCATGGGGACATCAAGAGACTGCAGTTGAGTTCAGTCATTCGTGTTAAAGTAAAGTACGTCATGTGGACAATGAGAGCAAGTATTAACACACATGAACTCAACTGCAAAGTCAGTCATAGGGATATTGAGAGTACATGTTTAAAAACATGAAAGCTTACATATGCACACGGCTCTAAAGAGGACTTAAATATTCTTTTTGAACAATCCTATTTTGCAAATTTAATTTAGCCACATCATGTAGAATAACAACGAAGCAAACATTAAAGGAAATGCTCAAAACAACAAAAATACACGTGACGAAAATGTTTGTACCTGTTGAGGAGAGCTGTTTGGATCTACAGGATTATCCGTCTGAGATTGGGACTGGAGAGTAGGATGACTTTCACCTGGACAAGTGCACTTATCTGACACGCTGGGACTCTAAGGGAGAGAGAATGGATAAGAGAAAATTATACAACATGAAAAAACCAACATGGAAACATTACAACCAACATACAAAAATAAATCCGGAGATCTGTTCAATTCACTTATCACACATTATTAAACTCAACTGCAAAGTGAGTCATGCAGACACTAAGAGAATGTATTAAACACACAAACTCAACTGCAAAGTCACTCATGGGGACATCAAGGGACTGTATTAACACGAATGATTGAACTCAACTGCAAAGTACATCATGTGGATGTTGAGAGCAAGCATTAACACACACACTCAACTGCAAAGTGAGTCATGGGGACACGCAGACTGCAGTTGAGTTCAGTCATTCGTGTTAAAGTAAAGTACGTCATGTGGACAATGAGAGCAAGTATTAACACACATGAACTCAACTGTAAAGTCAGTCATGGGAACATTGAGAGCACAAGTTTTAACAAAACAAGTAAGTACACATATATATCAACAAGTAAAGGAAGTGCTCAAAACAACAAAAATACAGAATTCCACGTTAGGTGATCGAAACATTTGTACCTGTTGAGGAGAGCCGTTTGGATCTACAGGATTATCCGTCTGAGTTTGGGACTGGAGAGTAGGATGACTGTCACCTGTACAAGTGCTCTTATCTGACACGCTGGAACGCTAAGGAGAGAGAATGGATACGAGAAAATTATACAACATGAAAAAACAAGTAAAACAAACATACAGTAGAAGACATTACTCGATATTTTCTTCAAATCGTGCAACCCTATTATACAACAAAAACTCCCGTCTGCACTTACTCACATTCTAATGGAAACCTGTTAAGTGAACCTAACACACATGATTGAACTCAACTGCAAAGTGAGTCATGTGGATGTTGAGAGCAAGTATTAACACACATGAACTCAACTGTAAAGTCACTCATGGGGACATCAAGGGACTGTATTAACATGAATGATTTAACTCAACTGCAAAGTACATCATGTGGATGTTGAGAGAAAGCATTAACACACACACTCAACTGCAAAGTGAGTCATGGGGACATCAAGAGACTGCAGTTGAGTTCAGTCATTCGTTTTGAAGCAAAGTACGTCATGTGGACAATGAGAGCAAGTATTAACACATGAACTCAACTGCAAAGTCACTCATGGGGATATTGAGAGCACATGTTTAAAAACAAGAAAGCTTACATATGCACAAGGCTCTAAAGAGGACTTAAATATTCTTTTTGAACAATCCTATTTAGCAAATATAATTTAGCCACATCATGTAGAATAAAACAAAGCAAACAGTACTGAAAATGCTTAAAACAACAAAAATACACATACAAAATGTAAGTATTACATGATAGGTGATAAAAAAATGTGTACCTGTTGAGAGTCGTATTGACCAACAGGACTATCCATCTGAGTTTCATCGGCTTTCATCTAAAAAAAAGTAAAATAGAGAAAATATATTTTTAAAAAGGTAGAAAAGTAAAAAGCACATACATAACTAAATGTGATGAACATTGGTTAAAAAAAACAAAACACTGCACTGAAAATGAAATATTGACAGTTGCATGTAGTAAAATTGTATGACTTACGATATGTTTTCTCCGTCTTGGCTTTGGTACAAAAAGAGCTTTTTTATACTTGTGTGAAAAAGTCTGAATAAAAAACAAAAAAACAATTATTAATATAGGGGAACAAAAACCAAACAAACACTAGACCGGAAATACACTAAATCTCATTAGGACCTATCCATGAATTTCAAATACTCAGGATACTATTTACACACGTGAACTCAACTGCAAAGTGACTCGTGGGGATATTGAGAGCACATGTTTAAAAACAAGAAAGCTTACATATGCACAAGGCTCTAAAGAGGACTTAAATATTCTACATGATGTGGCTAAATTATATGTGCCAAATAGGATTGTTCAAAAAGAATAACAACGAACAGTAATGGAAATGCTCAAAACAACAAAAACACGCATCAAAAAAAGTGAATATTACATGTTAGGTGATGAAAATGTACCTGTTGAGAAGAGCCGTTTTGATCGACAGGTTTATCTGTCTGAGTCTGGAACTGGAGAGTAGGATGACTTTCATCTGGAAAAGTGCTCTTATCTGACACGCTGGAACTCTAAGGGAGAGAATGGACAAGAGAAAATTATACAACATGAAAAACACATATAAACTAAACTGTAAAGTCAGTCATGGGGACATCAAGAGACTGCATTAACACAAATGATTGAACTCAACTGCAAAGTACATCATGTGGATGCTGAGAGCAAGCATTAACACACATGAACTCAACTGCAAAGTGAGTCATGGGGACATCAAGAGACTGCAGTTGAGTTCAGTCATTCGTGTTCAAGTAAAGTACATCATGTGGACAATGAATGTATGTATTAACACACATGAACTCAACTGTAAAGTCAGTCATGGGGACATTGGATCAGCTGCAGGTCTAAACCAGGTCTGAACCAGGTCTAAACAATTATAATAACTATAACAATAACAATTAAAGACACAAGCGGCGTCGAACGGCCCTCGCCCAGCCCACGCCGCACCGGCAATCACCCGCGCACTGCAAACGGCGCACTTCGCAAACGCCCTGCCTGCAAATTCTGTGCCCGCAAACGTCGCACTCGCAAACAGAAAATGCACCTTTAAATATTCTTTGTGCCCCCTGCTGGCCAACCATGAAAAATGCCCATGTCAGTAATATGTTTTTACTTCTAGTCATTAATAGAACTGAATTCCCAAATTTGGAACAAATCAGATAATGTTGACGTTTCATGTCTATGGTAGGGGGCGCTATAGTGTTCACTTTTCATATGTTTTATAGTGTATTATATTCAGACTGAGATCACACATTAGTGATTTAAATTTCAGCATGATCGGACTAAGTCTTAGTATTCCAGGTGGCGCTGTGTCGCCATTTTTTTATGCCTGTGTACGAAACCTATATTTTATAAAAAATTTTGCCATTTCTGAATATTGTGCAAGTTTGGTGAGTTTTTGAACATGTTTATGGGGTCAAATTAGAGCTCAAAGAGCATAATAAAAATAAGATTAAAAAAATTATATTTTTAGCAAAAACAATATATCCGAAAACATTAGAACATATTATACGTTGTTTGAAAGCTCTTCACTTTCCCCACGTCACCGTGGGGTCATTGGTGAGTGACGGGTGCGTCTGCACCATCTCGTCGAGGTCACCCCCTGACCTCCCATTGACTTCCATTCATTTTAGCAGTAGTAAATATGAGCCAGGCCTTCAGGGTTACTGGGATACTGCTGTTTGTGCCGGGGGCAACCGTGGACATAGCTGCATGTCGTCTTGTCGCATTCGGTCATGTGCACGTCGCTCCCCATTCACTCCGCATAGCGGAAGCAATAGTAATAATAATAATAATGATAATAAAAATATAGCCGCAAGCGGCAATGATCGGCCCTCGCGCATGCTTATGCCGTCCCGAAATTTGCACCGTTGCCACGGCAACACCGTTTGACCTTTTAAAAAGCTTTTAACTACTTTTAATGTCCCACTTGTCTAGATGATACAGAATGATTCTGTCTGGGTCAAACGCCCTAGGACGAGTTCGTTCAAGTACGAGGACAGGTCGCACCATCAATCCAATATGGCTCACTTCCTGTTGGTTGCTGAGCAACCGCATAATATACTTTTTTGTTCCTATTCCCATGATGCATCTGTGTACCAAATTTGGTTTGGCTACGCCAGAGTTTTTGTTGGGCGTCCCATTGGCGAGAGCAGATCTTTAGCCTGTCACCATGGCAACACGATGGGAAATGGCATGGTGTCGTCACTGACTTTTTTGATCAAGACCATGTCATGAATCTGTGTACCAAATTTTATATGTCTACAACAAAGTAAATGTTTGCAGTACCATGCAATTTCCCTAGGGGACGCTATTGCGCCCATCTGAGATTTTCTTATATAAATCTGTTCAGAGTCGGGGTGTCAATCAACGATTAAAATTTGAGTGAAATCGGCCAAAGTTTTGTGCCAGAATTTGTAGATTTTACCAATGGAGAGTTAATGTCATCACTATGGCAACGCCATAAAAAATATGACATGGGTGTCATTGACTTTTGGATCAGGATGCCAAAATGGAATTTTGTGCAAAATTTCAGAAATTTTTTAGCAACTATTTGGGAACAAATTATTTTCTTCCATATAATATTTTGTTTCAATCTATAGGGGGCGCTAATGCGCCAAATTAATAATTTTCACATTAAGTAGCTTCAGGGCAGAGAGTTTAACAAATGTTTCAAATTTCATTGAAATCAGAGTTCGTTTGAGCAAATGGGAGCAATTTGTAAATCTCCTAAATTGTGTGCATTTTTTGTTGCTTCACTGCTCAGAGATCGTAAGACGTGTGTGAACAATTTGGATAACTTTTATTGTTCTACGTCTTGAGATAATGTGGACCAAATTTGAGCTCGTTCGGGTGAACGCCCTCGGAGGAGTTCGTAAAAGCTTAGCAAACTTTAAGCCAATATTGCTGCCCCCTAGTGGAGTGCACGGTATTGGCGTAATAATATTTTTTCCTTGTCTTGACATGATCGACTTCTGTGTCAAATTTCATGATTGTACATGCAAATTTTTTTTTGTGTCATTCGTATTCCCTAATGCATTTTTGAGACGTTTGGGGCTGACGAGCCATTTTATTTATGTTTGGAAAATGGAAATAGCCAAAACTTAGGGAAGCGCAAATTTTACCAGATGGCAAAATTTCCAGGACTTTTTATTATTGTTTAGTGGGTGAAAAATGGGTGAGTTGGTTAGGAAAAAAATAATAAGAAAGAATAATATTCTGATGCGAGAACAATGTTCCGCTTTTTTTGGCCGACAAACTATACATTTTCGGAAACCTCAGACGCATTGCTACGTGATGGCGAGGGTCCCTGGTCACTACGGGCGAGTCACGTCACGCCATTCCATTTTTCGGCCACTTGGAGCATCGCTTTGCGATACTAATAGGCCCTTTGCCAGCCTCTGGCGCTCAGGCCTAATAATGTTATTAGGCCCGAGCGCCAGAGGCTGGTGAATGACCTTTTGCATCATAGCAATAGGAACAAAAATGTACATTGTGACCACGCTCCTTTATAAACCGGAAGTCCGTCATCTTGGATTTTTTAATTTTTCTTAATAAACACATGCAAAAAATTTGAAAAATGGCAGGGTAGGGTTCAGAGTTGGGGTTTAGGGTAAGGCTTAGGGTTGTGGCTATGGGTAAGAAGTCCGACTAGGGTCAAGTTTAAGCTTAGGGGTATTATGGTTAGTGTGGGATGCAGCATTTTGTAGGGTACGGCATTGGCGGGTGTGGTGTTTGCAGGGCACGGCATTTTCTGGGTGTGGCGTTTTTGGGGAGTGGCATGTGCGGGACATGTCACAGGCATGAGCGAGAGCCAATCATTGCCACTTGCAGCTATATTGATTCGTTATTATTATCATTAATGATTTAAACACTTTGATTATTATTTACCTGAGCATCCAGTGTTGTGCAGTATCGCATACACAAAATGAAGGGTATTTTGGGGGGAAAGAAGTTCTGTATTTTATCATCAAATGTGACATTTCATGAAAATTCTATAATTCAAGATGGCCACCGCCACATGATGTCAAAATACACAAACTAGATGGGTATATTTAATCCCTACATAAACTTTGGGGCATCCTTAATATTTCTCCAATTTACAGAAAGTGTATCAGTTTTAAGCTATAGCCTTTTGAAATTAAGATGTCAAAATCAAACGTTTTAGCGCCTAGAGGGTTAAACACATTTGAACTGTGTGTTTGCTACGTACTTGTTCTCTCCATGGGCAGTCGTCTCCTCCATAATCATATGTGAGCTCTTCACCTTCAATGATGTTTCTTGTGGTGAACAAACACAAGTGTGGCTTTCCATAAAAGTAAAGTTTTTTCATTTTACAGTTTGGCTGTATGTGGTCATCATTCACTATCCGTCCAAAGGTGCCATCTTCAACAGAGGCATCAATGCTATACAAAACAACAACAACAAAACAAATAAACAAACAAACAAAAACAAAAAAACACATTAGACAGCTATTTCACAATTATTAAATACAATATAATAGTTACTTTTATACTTTAGTAAGGCTAGGTTAAAAGGTTAAAGTAAAAAGCTACATGCATTGGCTATGTCAACCAACTATCTCCATATATGTGTAATGGCAATAGACAATGTAATAGGGTTGTCCCGATCCAATCGCGTGATCTGAAATCTGGGCCGATCACGTGACTGCGGAATTGATCCAGACTCTGACGTTATGTTCCGATCAGGTATCGGATAAATAATATACATATATAACACACAGCGCACACAGCACACAACAGTGTTTTTTTGTTTGTTGTTTTTTTAACTGAGGTGCGGGATTTGCTCAGGGACGTCCAGTTAGCGCAACTGTCTACTCCAACGCCTGCTGTACTAGAGGCACATTCACGCTGGGACTTTTGGGCCGTGCCGTGCTCGGGCGCTGTTACCTGGTGTTCTGTGGCCCGTGTTCACACCTGCGCGGCCGATGGCGTCATCGCACTGTTCTGTTTGCATGTTGTGGAGCTGGCGGGTCCAGCGGCATGGATTGTCTATTGAGCGGTGGGAGCAATGTTGCGGTGCGCTCCGCGGTGGGTTTGTGAATGTGGTTGTGGTGCGGGGGAGTGGGGGCGGCCGGGGGAGAGGCTGAGGGGCTTCTGTTCACAGTCCTTATCGGGTGTGGGTATGGATGTAAATGCAGTCTTAAACTCTAGTTTTACTGCAGGTGAATATAGTATTAACTTCATTATAAGAATGAAAGTTCCTGAGAAGTACTATCACTCAGTTAGACATTATAAATATCAGTTATTAACGTTTGCCCCAGAGGTACAGAATGACCTATGGGGGTGCACAAATAGTTATGAAAAATAAATGTCATCTCATTTTTAGTTGGTAAGATTTTGGATTATTTGTATTTCATAGACGAGTCTAAATGTTTTAAATGTAATGCACATGTTTCCATATAATATCAAATATACAAACTGTAGATTATGCAGAGTCGAGTCTCAGGTCTGATCTGATTCTGGTCTGGTTCCTGTTTTGCCCAGTTCATTAAATACACAAAGTTACACATTCCAAGACCAGACTGTGAAAAGTCAAGATTTTCAACAATGATGGTTCATGGTTAGAAAAGTTAATAAAACAAATTCAAGTTTTGGACATTTGATTTTTCACACTAAGTTCAGCCCAAATACTACACATTGAAATCAATACAATCTGATCCCCCCGTACATCCTGGATCTGATTGTTTGCCATGTCTTATAGAAGAATCAGATCGGGACTCGGTATTGGCAGATACTCAAAATGAAATGACTCGGGAGCAAAAAAAACCTGATCTGGATATTATAGTTGTATATAGATAATATAGTTGTCTAACTAACATTGTTTCGGTAAAGTGCAAAATCTTACCACCATGTTTTCCCTCTCCATTTAAACTCAAAGAAGAATGCGGCACAGGACGGGTGGTAAATTTTCCTTCGCCTCTCCAATTCTGCCTGATCAATCATCTCTCCTCTGTACTCCACGACAAAGTCTCCTTTTCCAAAGGAGCCTTTCGCAAAAAGACCCCGTCCTACAAATAAAATACAATGATATTTTTTATAAATAATGAAGATAATAACTGACAAACAAACAAACAATACCTTTTACTTGATTGATGTACTTGATCTCCAGTTTATTTTTGTCACACTTGTTGATGACATGATATGTGGCATCTTTTAAAGGGCTAATTCGTGGTGCCATCTAAAATGTATATGCACAAATTAATAAAACACACTCTAATATAAAAATATAATCTGCATGCAGTTATAGTTGTTGCAATATACATTAGTTGGCACTAAAGCTGGGCAATATTGCCGAAAATTAATATCTCTGTTTTTTTTTTTTTTTTTTTTGCATATCTCAATTACAATATTCCCACAAAATTATGTCAGGCCAACAGAAAAGTGTTAAAACTTATCTTTAAACGTAGTAGGTGAGGCTTATTATTTAAAAGAAACGTAAAATATCTGTAAAATTATCCACTAAAGTGCAGGAATATATATAACAATGTACAACTTTTTTTTTTTTTTTTTTAAACTGTAAATATACTCAATTTTTGCATAGCTTTAAAACACAATCACAGTGTATTGTATAATTTGAAATATTTCCCATCCCTAGGTGGGTCACCGCTTTACATTTACCCTCATGTCAGTCACTTGATTAAATATCTCAGTTATTTGACCCAACGCTGAATATCATAGCACTTTTTTCTTAAACCAATAACTACAAATTATTCCTTTGTTCAGTACATAGAGCCAGTATCGGCTACTTCTCCTCAGTTGAAAGCTCCAATAGCATAGTCATTCACTAGCTACCTAGCTGCTGACCAACTAACCAACAAAGTTCTAATCAACTGTGTAGTAATGCTGAAAGCTTAGCACATGTATTACGTCACTACATTTACGGCTCAGCTTGGAACTGTTATATCAAAAGACAGGCACAATTATTCACACTCAATTTACTTAGCAGGTGCATTGATCAGGGTACCTCCAATTGTGAGAAGTACCGCTGTTCCCTGTCAATACCACGGGCCGTTGTCCTCCCAAGTTATCATGAACTCATAAAACAGCAGTATGCATATCTTTATACGGAACTCACCGCAAACCAGCCCGTAGCAGAAGCTCTGAGTTCGGGTAACGTTAGCAGCCTACAGCAGTAAAACACGGAGCACACACCGTAGCGCTCAGCCCCTCCGGTCTAGACCGGTCTGGAGGTCTGGTCCTTGGTCTTAGCCATCCACCGCGCACATTGGTCAGATAGATCCAGACGCTCCGTCCTCCGTGTGCTGGTTCCAGACGGGATGAGCAAGACCAGTGCGCAGTGGCCGTTCCTGTCCACTCCACACGGTTCCGTATTGTCCTCTGCTGGCACGTTTCCGTGAGGTCCTCTGCGCGTTTCCATCTTGTCCTCTGCACGCGGCTCCGGGGGTTCTCTGCGCGCGGCTCCTTGGGGTCCTCTGCGCGTTTCCGTGTTGTCCTCTGCGCGTTTCCGTGGGGTCCTCTGCGCGCGGCTCCTTGGGGTCCTCTGCGCGCGGCTCCTTGGGGTCCTCTGCGCGCGGCTCCGTGGGGTCCTCTGCGCGCGGCTCCGGGGAGTCCTCTGCGCGTTTCCGTGTTGTCCTCTGCGCGCGGCTCCGTGGGGTCCTCTGCACGCGGCTCCGGAGGGTCCTCTGCGCGTTTCCGTGTTGTCCTCTGCGCGCGGCTCCTTGAGGTCCTCTGCGCGTTTCCGTGTTGTCCTCTGCGCGCGGCTCCGGGGAGTCCTCTGCGCGCGGCTCCGTGGGGTCCTCTGCGCGCGGCTCCGGAGGGTCCTCTGCGCGTGTCCATGTTGTCCTCTTCGGGGAAAGATACACAGATCCGCGCACTTGGTTCTTCCCGGGGAAAGCTCTTCTCAGGCCGAGGCTCCGAACATCACTCCCCGCTCCAGCTCTTCTGAGCCCGGCCTGAATCGGAGCAGCTCCCCCCGGGTCTAGTCCGACTGTAGCATGTCTCACACGAGGCTAAAAGCTGGGCATTTTATAAGTTCAATCACCGAGACCTGAACATACACGTCCACAACCTACACGAGCGTATTTACGCACCCGCACTGATCAGATAGCCTAGCCATAGCAGCTTTTTGTTTACCAGTAGAAAGCACTAGAATCATTAGCAGCTAACACTAGCCTCTTCGCAGCTATTTAGCGGCTAACATACTAAAAACCTTGTCAGATAAATCTAAGATACAGATACTGTTATTTTTTTCTACAGATCCCCTGATTTCGCCCGTCGCTTACGTTCACCGCTTCTTGTGGTGGTTTTGTCCCGTTGTACACCACCCTCTCCCACTTGCTGTCGTAACTTTCTCCGCTGTGTTAGCAATGACCATGCTACTAGGCTAACCCATGCAGCCTGCTCATGGCCTTGGCTAGCCCCGACACCTACCCCCTCCAGCACAATTTAACTTTATTCTAATCTCTTTAAAATAGGCTAAACAACTGTTGGCTTATTTTCACAACGTATATTTAAACTATTTTAACTATGATTGTGATTACAAAGAAGCTACATTTAGCTTTGATAATGTTAGCTAGCGAATCAAGTTTGAACAAAATATGTTTTCTAATATACTGAACACATAAAAATAAAAATTTACTTAACATTTGTGGTCACAATTTGCTTCGGCGATTCATTCTCATCAGCTTAACTCATTATTTAATTAAATGATCATAATATGCTTAAATATTCTTACCTTGCATGTGCACGCTGTATGTCGTCTTTCACACTGATCATTCGACGAAAACATCATTTCTTATGAGGACCAGGAAATGGGCGGTACCGAACCATATTTGGTTGAAGTGTGTGTGAAGACGGTGATGTCTTACCCGTCCTTACCATTAGGGGCACCATAGAGCACACACTCTCACACACTCACACACACTAAAAACCGTGACATATGGGCCAATGCTGAAACTTCGTCCAGCACCTTAAAAATTGTTATTTTATTCATCTACAATGGTAATCTTCGTGGGGACCTGGTTTTTGGTCCCCATGAAGAAAATGGTCCCCACACCGTGACTGTGTAAACAGATCTCGGTCCTCACAACGTGATGAATACCAGTGCACACAACACACACACACACACATGCCCCCAGTAACACACACACACACATGCCCCCGGTACACACACACACACACACATCACACACACACACACACATACACACACACACACACACACACACACACACACACACACACACACACACACACACACACATGCCCCCAGTAACACACACACATACACATACACACACACACACACACACACACACACACACAGGCATACACATACACACACACACACACACACACACACTTCACACAAAAAGGTCGTCTTCACCCACGTGAACTCTTCTCTTTCTTGCAGCACATTGATACATTTTGAATCTAAAATAAACCTTGTCATATATAAACAGGGTTTTAGTGAGATATTATCAGCTGTATTCTGTTGCAGCATCAGTCAACATGAGCAGGTTCACTGTTTATGAGGCGCTGGATCAGATTTTTGGTCATGACAGTGATTCTGAAGACAGAGAGGAAAGTGAAGCTGAGGAAGATGTATCTGAGGATGAGGATGAGGGCACAGACTGAATAAAAGAAGTGGACTAAGTGAGTGTGACGTCACCCACAGCGTTTGGTGCCGCTCAAATGAAGCTCACGGTCTAGAGCCAGGTTATATGTTATGAATAGGATTTTTTGGACGGACAAAACAGCCAAAAAAAAAAAAAAAAATCAGGATCATGTGTCGCAGGTTAATACGTATATTTTAAGACCAAAATGACGAGGTTCACAGCAGCAGGTACAGAGAGAAGGACGACAAGATCCTAACATAAGTCAATTGGAGCCAGAGTCAGAAGGAGCCGGAAGAGCCTCCTGGAGAACTTTCTATTTGGAACGCGGTGGCTACAGCGTTAGTTATGTCCATTCATATATACGTCTGTGGATGAGGATGAGGGTCAGTATGACCCTGAACAAGAGCACACATGTGGTGAGGAGAACCCAGATGTCACAAAGACTGAAAGAGACGTCTTCAAGTCAAGAAAAAGTGACAGTTCATGGTCACCAAGCCCTCTTGACACCCAATATAATTATACTTATATAAATTAGATTTATATTATATGTATTATATATTAAATTATTATGATTATAGTATAATTATATAATATAATTAAAAATTTTATCACTATAGGATATATAATATATAATATAATTAGTGAATTTAAGCAGTTTTTGTAATCAAAAACGAGTGGTATATTTTAAGATAAAAGGTCTGTACAGCCAAAAAAATAAAAAATAATAAAAATGTTTCCATGGACATGAACACATACTAAGTTAGTTATGAGGAGAAAAACAATATTGGATGATATCTAGTGTTTTTAAGTATTTTCAGGCTGAGTTAAATCACGGGTCAAATTTGACCCGGTAACACTAAAGACGTGTGTAGCTTTCTAACACAATACAAGGGTTAAGCCATGTTATAATGCTGTTACCTCATCAAAAGCATACCCATACTTGTATTTTGTTTCATTCACACATGTTTGAGTCTCCACGTTGTGATATCATGAAGCGGTAGTTTTAACAGCTACCTTTTACCTTTAGTTCAGTAGCGAGTAGACAATTCCAGGGCTAAAATTATCCAAATGATTCTAGTGAAGGTGTATGGAATTCAAAAACACAGTAGAGCAGTTCCTGAATTACCACATTACATCACACAGTCAAAAAGAGCGTTTTCAGTTTGAGAGAAGAACACCACCTAAACATGTGTGACTGAAACAAAACAGAATGAGGAAACAACAATATATAACATAGACCTGAAAATAGTGCACTATATGGCCCTTAAAATGAAAACGTGTAATGTATAATTCTAAAACTATTGGCCATTTATGCAAATAAGTGCATTTTATTACATACAGATAACACATAACACAAGTATATGACTGTGGTGAAGTAGTGATAATGTGTTGGCTTCATATAGCAAAATAGTCAGGTTACAGATTTGAAAGACACTAGCACCCGAGCAGAAAATCCTGAGTGAGAGGTGGGTTGTTTGATCAGGGCAGTTAGGCTTGTCGCTCTTCATAATCCAATTTGACAGCTCCATCTCTAATCTAATAATTTCACTACACATTCAAATGCCAATTATCCCTATACAGACCCCATGAGCAAAAACAGAAATCCTATGAAATGACTTAAGGGAGCGGTGAGAGATGGCACCAGTATTAAATGAGCTATTATGAGTTTTATTAGCAGATAAAAATCCTAATTTAATTGCCATATAATTAATTAGATGTAGATTAACCTAGTTTGCTTGAAAAGTAAAAACAGGCACAAAAAACTGAGAAAGCTTCTAAAACACAATGTACACTGTTTAGATGTAAAATTTCTGATTTTATGTTTAAGGAATCCTATTTTTGGAACATTCTCCATGGAGATAGACTGACCTTACTTGGTGGTTTATGGTGCGGTTTGTTTATTACATATAC